TTTTTACTATAATAAAAAAGTTAGACGTGACTGTTTTTGAGAGTTTTTTATTATAACAAAACTCGAATCGGAAATAAACAGGGCCTAACTTTGCTCACTTTAATTAGCTGTCCGCATTTTCCATTCTATTTTCCACCAATTTTTGAAAAAAAAAAATATAGTAGGACCCACTCCTTAATTTTTCCACCCAAAATTCCTTTCCATCCAAACTTCCTTCCTAGTAAACATCTCAATTTATCAATTTCTATCATAAAATCCCTCCAACATTTTCCTTCCTTCAAGTTTTCATTCATACCAAACAGAGGAAAAACTGAAACAGAATGTCTAACACAGTTGATTGTCTGTCGATATTGCATTCATATTTTCCCCAACCCAACTCAAGCTCTGCAACAACACTGAATACATATATATATTTTTTTGGGTGATTGCTACAACACTGAATGAATGCAGTAATCACACCATACTTCTATTTAAATTATATAAGGTCTAGACTTAATATGACCATTTTTCCCTTAAACTCACGGTAAATTCCTACCGTAAGTAAACAAAGGTCTAAACTTTTAGCATTATATAGGCAGATATAGTCACAGATGTAGGTTTGAACATTTCGCATGAAAGTTACTTAAAGAACCAGATTCCAAGCACCAAAAAAGGAAACAAGAATAATATATTACGGATCTTAATAAAAATGAAGTTCTGAATTGCCAAAAATAAATACTAGACTAACAAAATATAATCGACGCAAAACTGAACAGTGTGATCCCTTGTTAAAACAAATAAAAATAAAATAAAAAGAAAAAAAAATCACCAGTCAGAGTATGTCGTCCCAAATACTACAGTAGATTCTGTTGGATCCTTAATTCAACGTTGAACTTATATGTGAATAATTATGTGTTATGGACTGTCATATAAGGTTAAGCTCAATTAAAAGTGATTTACTAAGGTTTATGTATTTTGGGCTTTAATGTATCTAATAGGATGTGAGCTTTTAATGTGTAGAGACTTAAGGATAATTTTTATTTTTATGATAGGCTAAAATAGAAACACCAAAAGATAACAGAAAAGTTATTTATATATAGCGGTTATAGTCCCCAGATCGTACGTTACATTCTATTCTTTCTGACATCCCATCATCAAAGAGTTAAAGAGTTCTCTAAAAAAATGTGTTGATCTGGAAGGCAAATTCCACGAGTCTTAGAGAAAAATCAGTTAATATGGATTCAGATACGCTTTCGGTTATAGATTTATTAATTCTTGATGATTTGATATGAATGTTCTTGGCTTTTGGGTGATGGTTCTCACCAAATCATTAATTTCTAACAGATTCAACCATCCTGGAAATTTTTGATGATAACTTTCAACCATTATAAAATCCTAACTTAAGAAATTAGGATTCTTCAATCCCGAAGAATCTGAACAAGGCTCTCTCTGTAGTTGGCCAATCTGCCATCAATGTAAGCGTTATGGCGATCAAAAATGACTTTGAAGTCTTGTCCAGAAGTGGGATGCAAGATGATTAAGCGCGGGCTCTCATGTAATATGGGCTCGCCACTTAAGCCGATTTCGAACGATGATATCAAATGATACGTGAAACAAGTTGAAGCAGTATTGCTTAGTCCACGATCCCTCAACGCCATACTCTTTCACCACCCACAGTTCAAGGCTATGGTCCTCTTCGAACATAGCAGCCATCGAAAGACAATCTTTCACCACACAACAACGATGGAAACAATAACGAGACTTGCGATATGCTAGACTTGCAGGAATTCTAATTATGTCTGTGAACACTTCATCGACCAAATCGAACCCGACGATCGCCAATGGTTTATATTCCGCTTCCCGTTTCAAGGTTCCGCACCAACGCACCACATTATTCAGAACTGCTCTACTACTTTCACTCCTTCCAAAGCATTGTCGAAGACCAATCTCCAAGAATTGCTTCTCAGTGAAAATACCTCCGCTTTGTTCTTCAAGCCAGATAACCGCCTCGTAACTCGCACCAACTTGTAATCGTTGGTCTTTGGATCAAAGCCGAACCCGAAAGAAAGAGCCTTCACATAAGGCAGTTTTGGTTCTTTAGCTACTTCCTTGCATTCTCTCGTGGCTGGGTTCATCACATAATTACCTTCACAAGTATTGAGGAACAGCAGCCCATTACAAGACCCCCGTAAGCAAACACAATCACGCGCAAAATTGGAAACGATCAAATTCTAATTAATCCTAAATACTTTTTATATATAAATATGAAATAAAATATCTCTCTCTCAAGTTTTATCCTGTCTTTTCTTTTTCTTTTTTTTTTTTTTTAAATTTTGAGAATCTAATTCCGCTAGATGGCATAGAATGCCGAATGGTCAAGACATTGAAAAATATTAGAAAAAGAATATAAATATTTTTTTAAAGTGTATGAGTTATAATTTTTATATGTTATTTTTAATTAATAGTTTTTTAATTAAATAATTATACTAATAAAAAGTATTAATCAATAATAACGACTTATACTAAATTCTATAATTTTCTAAAAAAAATTGAAATATTATATTTACACCCCAAAAATTTATAAGTGTCTCAATTAATTAATACTTCTTTGATGAAGATTTGTAAAATCTATCTTTTATCCATATTATTTTCATAATAGCTCATTTATTCCCCTCATACTCTTCCATTTCTAATCTTAATTTGATTTGAGGAAACACATCTTGTGTATATTATTTTAAAATAGTTTTATTTATAAGCTTTATGTTAGAATTAATGGGTTCACAATATAATGAGGTTAAAACAACAATTAAACCATTGAATCTAAAAACACACTATCAAATTAGATTTTGAAGCATTTATAACGGTTTTAGGATTACCTCTTCCACTTGGCGTAAGAACGGCATCGTTCATGGTGGCCGGAATCCGTTCTTGATCGGCCGGAGTTGAAGCTTCAATGATCTAACAAAATCAAAAGGGCTTGGAGGGTTTTGAATGCTTCTCCCTTTGCCTCTCTCAACTCCCACGGGCACTAACAACCCACACACATACACGGCAGGCACCAAATTTTTTTGCCCCCTTGGCTTTTTACTGCAATCTAGGGCAAAAAAGGGCTTTAACTAAAAACGCGGATAGAGAGAAAATTTGGACCAATGGGCTGACCAAATATTTAGAGAGAGTGAGTCCAAGGACCTCAAGCATATTAGGAATTAAATTGTCCATCTTATTATGGACCGACATTATACATATATGCATGTGTTAATTCACATTAACATAGTTGTTCATAAGATATTTTAATTAATTACAGAGTGAATTATTATGATTATAGAAGTCCAAATAAAAATATTCACAATGGTATTGCGAATCGTACATAATACTACTGATATATGGTTGCATGTTGTTTTCTTTTTGTTTTTTTTTTTAATAATCAAGTATGTTATCTTACAAGCAACGAATGATTAGAATTTATTGCATTTCTCTTTCGTTAAACGTTCTACGAAATTCTTCATCATTAAAAAAAATTATTTTCATTAAATAAATAAAATTAGTTATAATAATAAAAATAAAAACGTCATTCGTTTGAAGGGTGCTTTGAAGTATATATAAAACAAAATTAATAATAGGTAATAAATAAAACATTGTCCTTAGTGGGATATGTTTTATTTTTTTCCCTTTTAATTGTTTGACCAATACTTTCTAATTATAATTAAAGCGAGTGTATATTTTTTTATTTCTTTTAGAAACACACCATTTCTATTTATGGTTAATGAAGTGGTACATTAATAGGTTTAATTGTAGTTTTAATAAAGAATAAAATTATAATAAATATAAATTATAATTTAGTGAATATATTAATAAATATCGCGAGTGCAAATATAATTTTTTAGAATATTATTTATACCAGTAAAAAAAATATTATTTATACTAGTTAATTTAAAAATAAATAATTATCATTCAATTAATAAGAAAAAAATAAAAAGACATAATAACACATAATTATTTAGAATGACATAAATAATGAGTTTTTAAGAATCATCACAAATCATGTACTTTTCTCGTAGAGTTATACCCTTATACTCAAGTGGGTTTTATGTATTTTGACCAAGGATATCAGAAAAAAAAACAAAAAAATTCCTTTAAAAAAAAAGACTCTTAGCAAATATAGTAAATTGTAAATAGTAGAGTTTAACTATAGTAAAATTTTTAAAATATTACAAGAAGAACAAAATTTAATATCATTAAAATAATGATTATATCATTATATAGTATAAAAGGCAACATCATTATGATAATGACTATATCATTTTTGTTGTATTTATAATATTTTAAAAAGTTTGTTAAAGTTTAAGTCAATATATGAAATTTTGCCATGTAGTCTACTCTGTTAAAGTTTAAGTCAATGTATGAAATTTTACCATGTAGTGTGATTTCGCATGAATTTTACATGGGGTATTCTATTAAAAATTGGAAAAAATTAATAGAAAGGTTTAATTTGCCAATGTTTAAAGAGTTTAGAATTTGTTTTGCTAATACTAAAAGAGTAAGACCAAATTATCACCTACCAAATAGTTTAGGAATCATATGCGCCCATCACTCTTTTTTTTTCTTGGTGTAAGAAAGTGGATGTAAGTTTTTAATTTATTATTATTCAACTAAATTACAAATTACGGCCAGATAGGGGTGGTGGCGCAGTTGGCTAGCGCGTAGGTCTCATAGCTTCTGAGTAATCCTGAGGTCGAGAGTTCGAGCCTCTCTCACCCCATTTTTCTCCTTTTTTCCACTCAGAATTCAATCTTGGATTGGGCCGAAAGAGATTCCGAAGGAACAGACAAGCCGAGCAAGCACTACCAGCCCACAATCTCTTTTGGGCTTCCTCCAGGCCCAATTGAAAACCCATGAACATTAAACCTAAACGTCGTCGCCCTGCGCACTCTCTTTCGCCAAAACCTTAAACCTCAAAAGAGGGCTGCCTCTCTCTCTCTCCCTAAACGTCGTCGCCCTGCGCACTCTCTTTCGCCAAAACCTTAAACCTCAGAAGAGGGCTGCCTCTCTCTCTCTCTCTCTCTCTCTGTTTCAGGCGCATCCCTCCCCACCGAGCGAAGATGGTGAAGAAGAGTAAAAGTAAGCAAAAGCTTTTGTTTTTGTTTTTGTTTTTGTTTTTTTTTTTAAGGAAAAAGAGCTACAGTTTTTCATTTGCTTTTAGTTTTCTGCTCTGGTAATTTAGCTTATCGATTGATTGATATTATGTTTGGTTAGAGAGTAAGAGTAAAAGAATCCCATTGAGGAAGAAGTACAAGGTGATAAGGAAGGTGAAAGAGCACCACAAGAAGAAGGCGAAAGAGGCCAAAAAGCTTGGATTGGGTCGCAAGCGCAAGGTCGAGAAGGACCCTGGTATTCCCAATGATTGGCCTTTCAAGGAACAGGAGCTCAAGGCTCTCGAAGCTCGCCGGGCTCGCGCTCTTGAGGAAATGGAGCAGAAGAAAGCCGCTCGCAAAGAAAGGGTCTGTTTTCGTGTTTTTATGTGTGTGTGTGTGTGTATATATATATATATATTGGATATTGATCTTTTTTTAATTTATTTTTTGGGGGGCGATTTAGGCTCAAAAGAGGAAGTTAGGGTTGCTAGAAGACGACGATGTATCAAAATTGTCAGCGAAAGAAGATGAAAATATTGGTGATCGTTCTGCTGGGTTTGCGAAGGCCCGTGGTATGTTGATGAATTTTTTGTTGCAACAAACATAGTTTAGGTTCAAACTTATTGGGATATGTGAGAAAAAGCATACGTTTAGTAAATGTTCATAGTTTTGTTAAGAAAAAAATGTTCGTGTTTTAAAATTTTAGGAATCAATAATTTAGGTTTCAAAAAAAAAAAAGAATCAATAATTTAGGTGGTTGAGAATTGATACATTAGCCATACGTTGGTACATTAATAAAGATTAATCAATCTAGGTTTTATGAAAACTAAGGACATCTACTTAAATTAGACTTGTAAAGGGGCGATCCACTTGTTTTGTTACCTTCCCTTTCAAGTCTCAATTTTTAAGTGTTTTGTCTTGAACAGACAGCTCAGACAGGGCTTTCTACAAGGAATTGGTGAAAGTGATAGAAGCATCAGATGTCATTTTGGAAGTTCTTGATGCTCGGGATCCCTTGGGCACCCGTTGTATTGATATGGAAAAGATGGTGTTGAAATCCGGCCCTGAAAAGCATCTTGTCTTGCTACTGAATAAAATTGGTAATTTCCTTGCCATACAAATGTACTTATTTTTATTTACTTATTCATTACCAAATAAGTAGCTTTAGAAGTCTGGTTTAAATTTACAGAAAAAGAAATCAAGTATGCAAAAATGTTGTATATTGTGCTTCCTTTATTGATTAGTGGGCGCTTGATTTTCAGATCTTGTTCCTCGAGAAGCTGTTCAGAAGTGGCTCAATTATCTTCGGGAAGAATTGCCGGCTGTGGCTTTCAAGTGTAGCACTCAGGAGCAGAGGTCGAATTTGGGGTGGAAATCTTCCTCAAAGGCAGCTAAAACGAGTAACCTTCTACAGACAAGTGATTGTCTTGGAGCTGACACTCTTCTTAAATTGTTAAAGAATTACTCCAGAAGCCATGAGGTAATTTTCTTCCCAGGAAAAAAACCACTTGAAAATGAGCGTCTTTTGTTATGTTATCTGTCGCCTAGTGGTTGGTTCCACTGTTGGTATTATATAATTGGGTTTCTGGAATCATATTATTTTATATTTACTATTTAGCAATTGGCTTTTTGTAATGTTCCCCTTGTTTTTAAGAACCCTAATGTTGGTTTTGTATGGGCCTATGAATGTTTCATCTCTATGTGTGTTTAATATTCATAGTTGTGTTATCTTTTGTATTCCGAAGCGTTGTTCAATACCATCTTATAAGAGATTTAAGTGGGCCTATTGTGTCATGATTTGTGTAATCAATGTTAGAATTTGAATTTGAATAAATGTGTGCCACTTTTACCATTGTTATTTGACCAACTGGGCTCTTTTGTCTTTGGCAGATCAAGAGATCCATTACAGTGGGCATTATTGGCCTGCCGAATGTTGGTAAAAGTAGTCTCATTAATAGCTTGAAGAGATCCCATGTTGCCAATGTTGGGTCCACTCCAGGATTAACCAGATCACTACAAGAGGTTCAGTTAGATAAGAATGTAAAACTGCTGGACTGTCCTGGTGTTGTGATGCTTAGGTCTAAAGAAAATGCTGTGCCTATAACCCTTCGAAATTGCAAAAGAATTGAAAAGTTAGAGGACCCTATCAGTCCAGGTGTGTTGAACTTGAGCGGGATTCTTGGATTCATTTTGGTTATCTTCCATTATTGGCTTTTACTTTTAGGCAGATTTTAAATAGCATACTCACTTTCCTTGTTTTTTGATGAAAACAGTGAAGGAAATTCTCAAGCTTTGTCCGGCCAAACTGTTGGTAACTATATACAAAGTCCCAAACTTTGATTCGGTAGATGACTTTCTGCAGAAGGTGGCTACTGTGAGGGGTAAGCTCAAAAAGGGTGGTGTTGTAGATGTCGAATCAGCAGCAAGAATAGTTCTGCGTGACTGGAATGAGGGTATGCACCCTGCTATGTATTCTTTATGATGGAACCCTATTTGTAAAATAGATGGAAACATGTAACCGAGCTAAAACTGTCTACTGTCATTTTATATTTTTAGGAAAAATTCCATATTACACTATGCCCCCAGTTAGGACTCAAGATGAACCTTCAGAAGCAAGGATTGTTTCAGAGCTTAGCAAAGAGTTTAACATCGATGAAGTGTACTGTGGAGAATCGTCGTTCATTGGGAGCCTCAAGTCTGTTGATGATTTCCAGCCCGTTGAAGTTCCTCCAAGCCAGCCTTTTAAATTTGACGAAGACATGGTAGAGGTCGGAGATCTATCCCATTAACTATGGAATTAACCATTTATTATGATATTGGTCCGTTAGTTAGGATACATTTTTTTGAACCTTTTTTTAGAGGGGTTAGCAAAAAAAAGTACTCTTTAAAATTTTTTCCCAAGAGCTTTTGTTGTGTTATTACACACCAACCGGTTGTTTTCTGATGTGAGCATGTGAACAATTAACTGCATCTCTAAGTCATTTTCCATGGTCATCCTTCAGGACGATGGAGAACAACGAATGTCAACTCAAGGGGAAGGAACTTCCCACATGGCTGATGATAATGATAGTGATGGTGATGACCAGTTGTTGGAACCCGAAGAGGATGATGATGCGGGCAAGGCAAAGGGAAAGACGGCTACGAGCAGGCAAAATGAGAAGCTGTATGCTGCAGAAGGTATGCTTAATACAAAGTTGAAAAGGGCAGAAAAGAAGAGAAGGAAAAAAACCAATAAATCAAACCCGGTAGATGCTCTGGATGACGACTATGACTTCAAGGTGGATTACATCAAGAAGGGATCTGCGATGGATGTTAGTGATGAGAGTGGAGAAGAATAATTAAAGGATTAGCTGGTACGGGAAGTGGAAATCTTGTTCGCCTTCAGATGCTTGGCGATTCCTGTATGGGCTGGCTCAATTTCTTTATTGTCTTGTCAGAGTTCGTTTTTGTCCCCCTTTTTTTTCTCTGTTTTAAGAAAATTTCAGTGTCTGGAATTGGATTCACTTACAAATATAAGAAAATTTTGTGTTATGATACGAGATTGATTTAATGCTGTTTCCTATTCTTTTACTTCATAATCTCTATAGTCCACACGCACCAGTATAACACAGGAGTGGACCAATACTGTAAATGCCTAATGATTATCCTGAAGAGTAAGGTTAACTAAAATTAAAAACTATTCTAAGCACGTGATTAAGAAGTTTCTGGCTCAGTTCTCCTCAGCACCCTTTCTTAATACACTGAGAAGCAAAATAATCAAAAATCTCGTTTGATATTAGACTCGACGATGTGACAGAATGCGTGATGATTCTGTCCACACTGCTCGCACCAAAACAAAGATATACTTGAGCCTAAACTGCAACGGTAAAGCTTCAACGTTACAATGGCATACCATCAAATCTGTAGTGGACATACAAAAATAGGAATCAACCCAGAAGAGAATAGCCTAAGTAAACGAAAATTTTGATAACTATATGCCATTTTGGACTGTTTTCAAACTTTATTGTAGAAAGGCGGTGGTCTACAAGGTTACATCAAATATTCATTCCCACCACATCATGTACATATGAAGATGAAATCAGTCTTCATTGGATACCCTTGAAACAGGATTTTGGTTGGCATTATCTGGGTCTGCCTCAACAGTCGAGGGATTTTGCTCAGACGATAAAGGTTGATCTTCCAAGTTAACATCATTGCTGGTTGAGGCTACTGAAGTAGTCCCATTAGCGACCGGTGCCGTCTCTACCGCAATGGACCTGGAAATCAGTCCTTGAGACTCCCTGGCCTCACGAGCTGCTTTCTCTTTGGCTCTTTTGGCCCTTTCTAAAACATCTTCCTGCAACCAATGAATTGATGGGTAAGCAATGTAAGAACTCTACTAAATCGTATTGGGGAGAACCAAAAGAGAATTTGCTGAATGAATTATTGATGAAAAGGTTTTATATTTCAAGCAACATTGAAAACACGTCCTTCACGTGAGTCGTAGAGCAACAAATACAGTTTCAAAGTGTTGCAACAAAACTCGGGAGGCCATTTGCAAAACTGCCCAAGTTTAGAACTATATCTTGATCTTCCCTCAAAAGAGGGAGCACCACTACAACTAGAAATGTTGTTTGAAAACGTAATAAACCTACTCAGCATGATTGACTTTGTGTTAAGAGAGTGGAATATGCCAAATAGAACTCTACCTAGCATCTGACATGACACTTCTATGTCACCGAAATGATTGATTTCATGGTGCGACACAATTGCCTAAGCTTTCCTTTCTTTCTTTCTTTTTTTTTTTTTTTTTTTTTCAATATTTAAAAGAAAAATGAACTTAAAAGAAAATGTTTCAGAATAATCCAACTTTGTCTAATCCGGTAGGTATTACAAGAAAAGCTCATGAACCTGTAGTGAAACTGAAGAAAGCAACTCAAAAGGCTCTTTACCTGGAATTCCTGCACTTGCTTTTGTTGCTCAGATTGCAGCCGACCAATTGTGCTAAAAAACTCCCCAACTGCGGACTCAATACGCTCATTCAATGCTTCTGCCAGAGCCTTTCCCAAGAAAAATGCGTCCAAAACACTTTTGCTCTCATTATCACCTGCAACATTCAGTTAATTCAGTTCTGACATCATATAAAACATATAGAAATCGTCTCAAGACAATAATAAACAACTATAAGTTGTTTTAATTGTTTTGCCATGACATGAGCCACATAAACTTAATCATTATGGACTAGTCTAATAAGTTCAATAGGAACAAAACTCTTTCTCTTACTTAGCAAAAGAAAAATTAAAGCCATATCACATATTCTTAATAACCTCAAACCTTTAATTGCAATACACTCGGAGAGCAAAAAGTATGAGAAAGGCACGGTTTTCCCAAATAAATGGTCGAATTTTACAAAGAAACTTATAAATAGTTATCCGTCGAATTGAAAGTGAAAGACAGAGAATTGTGATGAACTTGTACAGTAAATTCCAACAAGACATTGAATTTTATGGACGCAAAATTTTAGAGAGAGAGAGAGAGAGAAACCTCCTCCAGGTCTCGTACTGCTATTGAAAACTCGTAGTCTTGTCTGAGATCCGTTTGCTTTGGAAAATCTGATGGCTCTGGGCTTGAAATCCGGGGTAGTTGTACTACTTGTAGTACAAGGATTGACAAAGCTCGATGAATAGCAATGGCGTGTTTTGGATTTAGAAGGCAAATAAGAAGAAACAATGGGTGGAGAAGCCGAAGCTGCAAACCCACCGCTCATTTTTCGAGTCACTTTCTCTCCTTATTTTCTCGCCTTTTCTTTTTCTCGTCAACCAAACGGAAAATAAAACCTCTCGTCAAAACGGGAACCCACAGGTAATTGGGTTCGGATGCTCGGATCTATCCAAAGAAATAACTGGTGAAGGAGGACGACGCGTAACTAACGTATTGCGTGTCGTTTTCCTTAAAACGACAACGAAATTTTGAGGGAAAATGTCGTTTCAAGATTTTGAGGGAAAATGTCGTTTTCGTGGGGGAAAAATAATGGTGTATTATTTTGGAGTCTAGGCATAATAACAAAAATCTCTCGTCTAATTAAAAATCGATAAATTCATTGTGTCATAATTCAAGACATTCTTTGCCTATTTTCCTCTATTTTAGGTTGACAGTGTTGTTATGTTAAGAGCCTGATTGCTCATGTTTTAGCTAAATCTGTTTATCAGTACGTATCAAACTTTTTGAGATTAAACCGAATCTCGTGATTTATTGCTCGTTTTGTTAAAGCCGACTTAGCTCATTAATAATATTACTCAACTTTCCTTAAAAAAAACAGAGAGCAAAAATATTTTCCTCGTATCAATTTGATGAAATTAATAAAAAGATACTATTACATTTCCTAAAAAAAAAAAAA